AAATTTTGTTTCTTACCCTTCAGATTGATAAGAATGTATATCAGTGGTGATAAGGGATGCCAAATAGTCATATTTTGTGTCTATGTGTGTGTAGCTCTGTTGAATGATTAAATTCACCCCAAGGTTGGTCTCAAACCATAGTTCAGATAAAGCTTTATGCTTTATTTCTCAGAATTCTCACATATTTTGCCTCAAACCACTGCAAAATTGGTCAAAGATACATCAATAACTTCAAATTATAATTAGGAAAATACTGAGAATCCTTTATTACTGGAGATTTCCCCAATCTAATGAATTTTAGATGTGTTGGGAAAGCTGCTGCCTTCCCAAATTAAAGTTGAAATTGAAGTTGTATTTTTCTGACATCTTCAGTTTCCAGAAAGTGCCAGGAGAGAAACAAGGTTGGACCAGGCTGACATGAAGCATATAACTATGCACAATATTTTTATTACTAATGTGAATTTTTTGGAGGTATGGAAATAACTCCAAGTGTGAATAAATGGGACTGCAGCATCAACCATTGTAAGAATCTGTCAGCTTCCTGAGTAGACCAGACAGGAACATGACAAGATGAGCTAATTCTACTTCATTGTAATGCTACATTAACAGAATCTTTCAAGTCAGAAAATCTCTCACCATCCCTCGCTAGGCAGCATCTCTTTCCCTTATCTCTCAAGGTCATTCCCACATAACATTACAGAGTCTGATCACAGTTACTATTAGCTTGTTTCTATTTATCTAGTTTAGTGGTCACCAACCAGTGGTCCGTGGACCACTGGTGGTACATGAGAAAATTTTGGTGGTCCGCAGACAAAATATTTGCATTTTTTACATTGCACTAAATATTATTTATCTTTTTTAAAAAAAATCACATTAGTGGTCTGTGGGATTTAAAATTATGAATTTAGTAGTCTCCGAGGTCCTGATCTAGTTCATGCATGAGACATGAAAATTGTGTTTTGTTTCTAAGTGTCATATTCATAATGGTTTCTGCACCAGGAATTTATTGTTTATGGGTATGCATGCTCTGGATTGATTGGTAAATAAACCAGTTAGTTTTCTCAAGCCTCTGTTAGCACAGAAAAAGATAAGATAGGGAAAAAGATTTATCTAGCCCTCTCTGGAGATGTTATTGGGCAAATGGACATGAATCTGGAAGTGCTATTTACATTTTTAGAGCTAAATTGTAGTTGACAATGTCTATATGTCCTGGATTTTAAAATAACACTGCTCTTTTTACTCTTAATTTTTGCTATCCTTACATGCTTTCCTCTGTATCCTTTAGGAGGAATGTGTGTGCGTGTCTCTTTGTCCTTTTCTTTTTCTTCTTTGAAAATGAAGAAGTGGAGTGGAGTCGACATAATGAAAAGAATGTCTAATTTGAATGATGCATCATCTTCCTATTAAATTGTAATTCTTCACTCCATACCATCTTATTCTGAAAGGTCATCCAAATTATGTATAAAATTATGGAGTTGCTTCTTTTTTAGGCTTGCCATCATTCTGTGTTTTGTGCCTTTTCTGTTTAAAATGCAGTAAACAATTAAGAGAGATTGACAGAGCCAAGTCAGTTCTTAGATTGCCATAGTAACATTCTTGACATCAGAGGAGAAATGTGTGCAGAATTCTAAAGTGTGCATATGGTGCACCAAGAGACAAACATTTAGTGCTTGAATGCCTCTCAGTCCTCATTACCATTACTTCTAAAATCAAACTGCTAGAAACAGTATCAGAACTGACGATTGGCTTATTAAGACTGCTGCTCTAAGATGCTTGACCCATTCATAACTAGGATTCCTAACTGCCCTATTTCATGAATATTAATCGAAGATATAAAGATTGAACCTGGAACCTTATGCATGCAAATATTGTACAAATGGAAACTGTTGGCTGTAGCCTTATTCTGGTGGCAATGAGAGTGCACTCTGCAATAGACTGGAGTTACCTTTAACATTTATGAAAAGTCAGCATAAGCAAAGGGGCATAAGCAGAATTTGGGACAAGAGGAACCATGTTTTTGGAAGAAAGTTTGGGGAGTGTCTTTTTTCCCCTAAATATGTTTACTTAGAACTTTATTCACTTTCCACAAATGCATTAAATAACTAAGGGGATGGCACACATTTTTTCTTATCCCTTGCTATGTTCAATTGTTTTACTAAGCATTCAGTTTATTTTCTTCTATATTTTGCTTTTGGGGATATGCAAAACATGTTGTACACAAACCATTTTCTGCATGGAACAGTTGTTTTTCATTGATGAATGTTCAAACTGAAACATGCAGATTTCTTTCAGAAATGTTTTGCGATAGGGAATAGGAAAAAGCCATGCATATTAACAGTGGCAAGCAGCAGCTAAAGGGATTATTGAAGGAAAGACACTGGGAAAAATGAGGGAGAGGGGAGAAAGCTAGTTAGATACCAGTACATCACACTTATATTCAAATTGGCGGCTGCTACAACTGCTACTGTCCTCCCTTCAAATGCAACATATCCAGCTGGCCGGCACTCCCCTCCCCCAGCAACCTTTCTGGCACCTGCCTTTTCCTATCTCCTTTTAGCTGTCGCCACCAATATCTTTATATCAAATTGACTTTTTCCAACATTGTTAGATGACCATCCATCACAGTAAAGCCACAATTTATTGAAGTAAATTTCTTAAGTATTACATAACCCAAATTTGCTTTGGGTTATATAATACTTTGGTTTATGAAGAGCTATTGCTTATTCTTATTTTTCTATATTATGCAAAATGCTGTTTAATCCAAAAAGGAATATTGTGATTGATATCCCTGTCTATGTTCTAGGCTTATTTTAGAACCAATTTATCATTCCTCATTTCAGAATAACAAGAAACTGTGCCATTAGTATTTGTCACCAGTTTTTAGAACTGTTTCTAAGAACGGATAGATTTCTCCCAGGCAGGCTAGATTGGAAAAAATAACAAGCCCACAGTAATTCAAGAACATCTAACAAAGAATTTGAAGAACTAAGATGACAATGAATTAATGATTGTAGTGTATCAAAAGTGGGTCCTATAAATGATGAATTCAGGGTTCATTTGTTGCACTTCCTTGTGGTTGTAGTATGCAAAATTCTGGATACCCCCTTCTCTTTGAGTGGGCGGCCAATTATCCATCTGTCTTTTGCTGTGATGATGGTCAGATCTGATTCCCAGTTTTTCCCATGAGTAAGTGAAAATCAACTCTCCAAAAGTCACAACAAAGCATCATGGGCTGCATGTTCCCAAGAGCTTCAATTCTATCTTAGACTCCTGATATAGAAGTCTTGGTGTTATTTTTCCGTATGTTTTCAAATGAAATGTTCTCTCAGGCAGAGAAAAAAGATCACATGTCACTAGGGCATTGATAGGACTGATGCAAGATTTTTATTGTTTTACTTGGCTAATCTGAGAGTTGTATCCTAGCATCTTTTGTAACATTATAAAGGCACCTCACAGATTATGAACATCCCTACAAAAAAGTTGGCAGTAGATAATTCTACACTTGTCTCATAGTACTTAATCCTAGATGCAATAGACCAATACATCACTTTCATTCTTTCTGACTTGAGAATTGTTTTCTCCCCATCGACCAAACAAACTGAACATAGGTAATATCCATTTAAGTTAGTAAGTATTCTTCATTTCAAGTAAGTAACTGAAATATTCTTTTGAAATCATACAAAATAGGTATAGGAAGTTGGCAGCCCTCCCATTAGCAATTCAACAATACCCGCAGGGCACCTCTTCCCCACTTCTGTTACCAAAAAAGGCATTAGAGAAAGTTGGAGTCTCATATAAAGGGCTTTCAAAGAAAAAAAGGGAGGAATTATTAAAAGAGTAAGGCATTTATACCTTGCCTTTGTCTTCTATGGTATAAATTTCAGAGGTAGCTAGACAGTTGCAGATACTGTATATACATCATGAGAAATTCCAGCAGATGATAAAAAGTGGAAGAGATACCTGGTCACTTTTGATCTCTGATATACAAAAGCTAGTTAAATATCATTATGTCTCAATTTTTCTGAACCTAGTACCTTATTTTTTCCCCTATTACTTTTCCAGTAAAAATAAGGAAGAAATTACCCCAAATATATCAACAAATTAAAAAGTGATCTTGTGATCTTTCATTATTATATAATTAATCAAATAATTGTTAGATATATTATATTACAAGATCACCTGTAGTTGAATATGCTACTTGAAAATTATAAACATTTTAATCCAAAATAAATGATTTATATTGGCAGCTGATGAACCCTTCTTCATTTTCCATGGTTAACGATATCCATCTATTTGACCTTATACAGAATCAATTTATACCCAGAGAGTTACACATTTCTGCTTCAGTCTATGGATTTCTTACATGTGCCTAACATTTAATATAATAAAGATTCATATTAGGCTATTTGCTATGTAAGTGGTATGTGTAAATTTATTCACTGTAGTAAATTTTATGTATGTCTGTAGGGAAATAATCTATCTATAATGACAGCTACTTATATTTTTTCTTTGGTGAAAAAACGTACTGAAGGAAAGGTTTGAGAATACAATATATGAAGGTATTTTTTTGCATTCTTAAGTAAACACTTGTTGCCTTTTCTCCCATTACTTCATGAATACAATATCGGACATTTGTTAGAAAACTTAGAGCACAGTTTTTTGACTTGTCTGTCTAAGAGAAAAGAGATTTATCTTAAAGAAATTTGTAGATATGCAAAAATGTTGTACTTAAAGGTTTTCTTTGCATATTTGTTACTTGATTTTGCAATGCCAAATCATGATGCATTTAGCCAGTTCAGAATCATAAAGGAGTTTTCATGTTGAACCTCAACTGTTCTTGAGGGCACATAGAATGTTAACTTTCTAGGAGTTTCAAGTATAAACTGTTTTTCAAATTCATATATTGGATAGCTTTATGAAATTGGATACTTCTGTTTATTGGATCAAGAAATGATGTTTGCTAGTTCTACATATAATGTTTATACTCTGCTTCTTCCTAGCTATCGTTAATCCAAAGCAGCCCAAAGAGACACCCAAAAGTTTCAACTTTGACTATTCCTACTGGTCTCACACAACTGTAAGTAGATACTAGGGCACAAAGAAGTGAAGGTTGGCTGCGGGATTTATATTTTATATATTTTATATTCTTTCCAATTCAACTGAATCTTGGAAAAAATATGTAAATGTGGATTGAACTTTGTTGCGTCATTCTGTTAACATGGGAACACAGCTTGACTAGAAAAACGTATCCTACAGGAGAAGCAGTTGGCAGCAGCTTAAAAAGTTAGCAATTACTCCATTTTAAACGTCCTCCTTCTAATGTGACCAAGAACATATGCCTTGCAGGTTGTGTTCACAGTGCATACATCTATACTGATGGTGGCATTGCTGGTAAAAGGGCTAGAAAGCCTTCCAGAAGCAAAGCTCCTTACCTATAGTCTGGAGACTTGAGCCAAGAATTATTAGGAAAAAAGTATGTTTGTATGTATGTATGTACATATGTACCAGTAGTCCTAGATTTACAGCCACAATTGGGATTGGAATTTTGGTCGCTAGGTGATGTGGTCATTAAGCAAATCATCATGTGATTTTACCCACTTTTATGACCATTTCTATCTATCATAGTCATTACATGAATCACTGCAGTCATTAAAAAAATCACATGGTTGTTAAGCAAATCTAGCTTCCCTAATTGATTTTGCTTGTCTGAAGCCAGCTGGGAAAGTAGCATATTGTGATCACATGACCACAAGATGCCGCAACAGACATAAATGCGAGCAGATATGGAAGCACCTGAATTGTGGCCCCATGACTGCAGAATTGGTGCTATGGTCTTTTGAGGACAGTTTGTAAGACACTTTTCACAGGGCCATTTCAACCATTGTTAAACATAAGATTGCAAGTCAGGTATTTAATGAATTTGGAATAGTTTCTACTGGTAAAAATATATACTTTTCTATCAAGGAGGGGTATTATAGCCCTCTAAGTGTTTGGATAGCAACAGTCATTTATCCCAGTCAGAATGGCCAATGATGAAGCTTTGTGAGGATTAGACTAGAACATCTGGAGGCTTCAAGATGATTATATTGTGCAGAGGGAGAAAATATTTTTCCTCTTTCCTTTGTCTTTCTCAGTGATCTCTGTTTCTTTTTTCTGAGCAGCCTGAAGACATAAATTATGCTTCACAAAAACAAGTGTACTTGGACATTGGAGAGGAGATGCTACAGCATGCTTTTGAAGGTTATAATGTCTGCATTTTTGCCTATGGCCAGACTGGGGCTGGCAAGTCATATACAATGATGGGTAGACAAGAGAAGGACCAACAAGGCATAATTCCCCAGGTAATCATGACAATGTGAAATACCTCAAAGTAAGAAACAAATCCAATAAAATAATGTTTGGGATGGGAAGCATGTGAAGTAGTTAATGAGCAACAATCAAGAAAGGGGCGGAAGCATAAAATCCCATGACATCTTCAAAGAACAGAACGGTGTGGCATGGGTAGGATTGAGCAACAGTTGATGGAAAGAAAAGAAGAATTTATCCCTGATTGTCAGAAATTCAAGAAAGAGGAGCAGTAGAAAATATAGAATTGATTTATTTGGTCTCAACTAAAAGTTTTGTCATAGTAAGGAGACCTCTGAGTTGATCACTGGCTGCAATTGGCCACTATTAGTACATGAGTTCAACAGTTTGTATGTTTGTACAGCTTAGAAAACAATAGAAATGTTTGAGTTGCAAGATGTAGCTTCTGGGAATATAGTTCCTTCTGCAATATCACACCTCTTATTAAAAAGGTTCAGTCAAGATTTGGTTGGAATTTACATTTTATCCAGATCACTTTTTCCCAATTAATAAGAAGCCTTCCCCCAAATATTATGTTGGGGAAAATATTTCTTTTTACAAACAGTTTGAAAATTTAAATGATGCAAATGGCAGTATTGTTACAGAAGTGTAACATTTTTTGTCTTTCTCATACAATGCAGCTGTGCGAGGATCTCTTCTCTCGAATCAATGACACAACAAATGACAATATGTCCTACTCAGTGGAGGTACAGGCTGCTATTTTTCAATGCTATCATTTTTATACATAGTTTTGAGCAACAAAAGAAACTTTATGATGCTGTGGTTTCAGAAATATATAAAGTTGAAGAAAAATGCATTTGCCAAAAAAAGCTATCTAATAATGTATTTCTGAATTCTCAGATTTGTTTCATAACATGTGTGGACAACTGTTTTATGGTCAAGGATAATTATTAAATAGTTTGTTGTTGTTATTATTATTTGTTGGGGAGAATCTTTGATGCAATAATTATTCAGTGATAGTACAGAGGTCAGAATTTTCAGCCTCTTTAATATTTTCCCATTTTTGAAAGTATAAAATAAGATCATTAAGCATATTGGGAAGTAAACACACCCACTTATGCTTTTCTGATCTTGGGAGAAAATTGTACAGACAATACTTACTGATTTGGTGGTTTATTCTGAGGCAGGGATGAAAAGAAAGGACAAGAACCAGGAGATAGGATGAACAAGAGCTCCTGCCTGCAAGTCTTATAGATCATCAGGGTTGGTTTTTTGTTCTGGGTTGACAATGTCATATCAGTCAGTGCCCACAAGATATTTAGCCGCCTCCTGTGCTTCTCTTGCTCTTATGTTTATTAAATGAGTAAGTGCATTTTGTCCTATAGGTGAGTTACATGGAAATATACTGTGAACGTGTACGTGACCTCCTCAATCCCAAGAATAAAGGAAACCTGAGGGTCAGAGAGCACCCACTCCTTGGACCATATGTTGAAGATCTCTCAAAACTAGCTGTTACTTCATATAATGACATTCAGGATTTAATGGACTCTGGAAACAAAGCAAGGTAAAAAGAACAACGAAGAAAATGTATCTCATTCTGGTATTCCTATAAAATCATTCAGAATTATTATTTTTAGTCAAGTCCTTCACAGGAATTTCATTCTGATAAAAATATTAGGAAGTTGAGTTTTTCAACAGAGAATATTTTGATAGCCCTGAAACAAGGAGCTAACCCTAATTTAAATAATTCAAAACAAGAAAGGGTGTAGAGTATGGTCCCACGATTGGCCTTATGAAGATGTTGCTGGATGGATTGAAGACCAAGTTCTTTTGTGAGTCTTAGGGAATTTTATACTTTACCCTATTGGATATATAGATTAGCAGCAATCGCTCTATAGCTAGAGCAAGAAAGAATGAGTAAATTGCATTGGGATGGAGTTAAAAAAAGATGAGGCTAAGGATTCCCAGCTCTAGAGATATAAAGGACTCACATCTTTATATAGATCTGGTAGGGATTCAATTTGTACTCTTTTTTTCTTCCAATTTTACTTCTGATAAAATTAATTATTTTTATTCATTTATATACAAGTACTGTAATTTACTATGTCAGTTTTCCATAACAGTTATGAATTCTGAGAAATACAATAATAGATCTGAAAGGTTCTAACTGAGGAAAGATATTTTAAACATCTGTTACACTAAAAGTATTTGCTTGTTCTTATCAACTTTACTTTCCTGACAAGAAATATAAATAAATTCCCTGCTACTCTTCTTCAATAGGACAGTAGCAGCCACTAACATGAATGAAACCAGCAGCCGCTCGCATGCGGTTTTCAATATTATCTTCACTCAGAAGAGACACGATGCAGAGACAGACGTCACCACTGAGAAGGTGAACTGAAAAATTAGTATGCATTGATATTCTGGCCAAGAGCACTCAGGCGTGCAGTCTGATACCATCTCACTTGTAATTACTGTCCAGCCATTATAAAGACACTCAGCTCAGCTGTCAGTTGGACTAAATTGGTGATACATTGAAGAGAGTAGTAAAAAGCATAAGTGCACAGGGAGCAAACAGAAAATATCTCCCCCCCCCCCCGCATTTAATTTTGGTCACATATCCATAGACAGTCTTTCTCTGCGTTTAGAAAAGATAGGAGACTTTGAGGGAAAGTTTGGTGCAGGAGGAGTCAACACTTTAAAATATAAACAGAAATAGCTTTGTGTGGTTTGATGTGATAGCAGTTAAGTAATAGTAGATTAATACTGGAAACCAAATTAAAGGTAAAGCTAAACCTCATTTCGGATGGAGTTGCATTGCCTCAGACAGATCCTGTGCACATTTTGGAGGTCCTCCTGAACTCATGACTTCTTAAAGAGGTGCTATCTAGATTCTTGGGAGTATTATGAATGCTAAGAATTTGGGCAGTTTTAATCCCAACACAACACCTATTGTCCACTATCGTTTTGAGTCTATTCCACCATATGAGTATCCAAGCTTACTTGTTCATTGCTGCTTTCTTATACATTGCCTTGAGTTTTTGTTGATTAAAGTCAGTTTAGTAAGATCTGGGATCATCCCACAGATGGATGTTTTCTGAATTGTGTGGTTGCTAAAATGCTGTGTTCTTATTTTGTTTTTCTCAATTTTTAGACTTCCTTTAGTAATATCAAATATTCCATCATGCCTAAGCGCTAGAGAATAATCTGAGAGGCAGATACCATGTTGGACATAAATCAATATTTAATCTGTTTGCTCATTTCAGGTCAGCAAAATCAGCTTGGTGGATCTTGCAGGAAGTGAACGGGCTGACTCCACAGGAGCAAAAGGCACCAGACTTAAGGTAAAGAAGGAAGAAAAACCTGAACTAAGTGAGATATTTATGTAAATATCTTTGCTTAAGAAAGGATTAATTTTGAAAACTGTGAATGAGATTATCCTTTGAAAAGCTACAGATTTATCCTGATAGAAAAACCTGTAGTACTATAAATCAAAATATATTGTGTAGCTCTTATATCTTTTCCTTCTTAGTGTTGTTTGTTGGCCTTTCATGGTTAGGAAAATGAAAATGAAAGAAGTGCTTGGAAAACAAGGGAAGGCTATGTATGAAAAAATATTACATAGGATCATCCTTCCTATTATATAATTATGTGAATGAGGCAAGAGTTCTGCCTGATGAAAGACTTGCCAGAAGTGTGAGAAGGGCTAACTAACTGTGATATAATTCACTGTAACAATTGCTATTCATCTACCGTTTACGTCTACTGTATTTATTCGTTCTGTTATTTTCTATATGGGACATAGTATCCAAAACTTGATTGGCTTGCCTCTGCCTTCCCCAACCTGGTTCCTTTGGATGTGCTGGGAATCCAGTTTTTAGAATTCACAACCAGCAGTATTGACTAGAAATTTTGGGAGTGCAGTCCTAAAATATCTGAATGTTTTTGGAACTCTTCAGTGACATCCTAGATTGGCATACATACTGTACATACAGTATGTAGTAGCTCTCTTATGAAAGGAAAGAAAGGAAAGGAAAGAATGGCAAAATTATCCACCAGTAGTTTTGAATAAACAAAGCAATATTTGAATGTGTGATATAATTCTAAATCCTGGTAGTTCTGGTGAGTTAGCAATACAGCACCTTAAATAGGTTTTTGTGCAATTTTTTAAAATCAAAATTCAATGACCCACACTGATTGTATATCCTTATTTTCACAGGAAGGAGCAAATATCAATAAATCACTAACAACCTTAGGAAAAGTGATCTCTGCTCTAGCTGAGATGGTAAGGCTTCTATTGAGATAAGTAGAAGAGAATATTTTATTACAATTAAAGTACAAAATTTTATTTTCCCAATTCATTTCACAGATGCTTGAGTAAAAGTATTACTCAGCCTTTTGATTTCTGGGGGGAAAAGCCATATTTAGTTTTTCTCCAGAAGTCAAATCACTAATCTGCTAATGGAGAAGAAACTTTATACAGAATTCATTCTGTATTAACCTCCAGCTTCCTTTCCTGTGGAAGCCTGAGAATTCAGGTTAAAATATTCAAGGACTCATCTTGAGAATTAAAATTAAAATAATCAAGGACTATTTTGAAGGTTACTTATCGATGTCTTGACACCGATACATTAATTTCTATTTTTGCCTATGGAGGAACATAACAACTATATGAATTCACCCCAACAGATTTGAATTCATAGGTTTACTACTTTAGAAAGATTAAGAAATTTCAAAGTACCTTGATACTGTATATGTGCATGTGAATAAGGAAAAATAAATTAATTATAAACATCTATTTACATTATAAATGTAGTATTATTGATATTTATGCACATCTATATGTGTGAAGATGTTTCTGCAGTATTAATTGGATAAGGGATTGCATGTTTTGTCCCTGTGTCCTTTGCTTTGTTCACCAATTTTGCTGTTAGGTGAAGATCTAAATGAGGAACCTGATATATTTGAGGAGATCCCTTCAGTTGGTCAGCAATTGTGCTTCCAAATGCCCAGATAATTATTTCCTTAGGCTTAATTCAGTGCACCAAAATCAGATTGGTAGCAAACCCCTTTTAATTAAACAGGAACCCTTCATGCAAATAACACAAGAAAGCGGGTGATGAGAACACCCAACAACTATTCTGTGCCAAACATCCAGCATATCTTCTATCTCTCTGAATCATCTTTGTATTTTGTCTATTCTGCAAATGAGCAGGAAAGATATTATGGCATCACAGCAATGTCAGATAATGTATAAAATCAGGGGCTGACTGAAGATATGGATTCTGGTCTCTTGGTTCAATCATGTCTGCTTTTGCTCTATTACACTAAAATAGTAAAATGAACTCTGTTTTTGGATTATGTTAAATGTTTTTCATTGGGAGGAGATACGTAATTGATATAGGGTCACAGTTTAGTTTTCAGATCCAATTTATTAAAACCTGCTTTGGTAACATAAAATCGTGAAATTTTAATTGGTATATGCTTTATTTTCAGGATTCAGGACCAAATAAGGTAAATATCTGTGCTGGGAAAGTAATTATAGGCCTGAGTGAAGCTGTTCTGTCTGAAAATTATCCATGTCCAAACATTTCAATTGAAATATAGTTTCAATATATAGTTTGTATATCACAACAGAAAAGGACTCTTATAGAACCAGATCACCTTGCAGGTAGTTTCCCAATTCTTTTTAAAGACAGTCCCATGTAGAACACATTACAATAATTTGGACAACTATTATGGATGTGAGCCTCTGTTGCAAAATATTCTGGTCCAAGCAGTGGCTATAACCAACCAAAGAATCAGAGTGATTCTGGACAAATTATAACCGTCTCCTGCTAGGATTAAATATACACATCCAGATATTTGGTTAGGACCTGTAGCCTTCTCTGGGATAGTGGGGTAAAGTTGTGTATCATCAATCTACTCAGTAATGATAACCTCATTGTCCTGTTGTAAGCCAGTCACACTTACACACCAGGGAGTTTAATTGCAAGACTTTGGATAATGCAATTCCAATCCCTAGAAAGGTTTCCTGCAAAGGTTCCAAGTGATCAGAATGTAAGTGGGAAAAGAAAAACCATAATCAGATCATCATTTAGAAATCTAAGAGTTCAAATACAGATTGCTATCCAGTCCAGGTTCTAAGAGGCAGAGTTTTTGTAGTCTAAGAGTGTAGAAGACAAACACAGATATTTTAGTGAGTGGAATTGTTTTTGCTGACAATAGTTTTGAATCAGTACATACTGTGAATGTAGACGATCAAGGATGGAATAGCCTTTGCTGTTCTCTTATTTTTTTTCTTAGCATCATCTGGAATATAATGCAACATTAATCTGTTGTATTTCTTCCTAATTTTAAAAAATGTGTTTCAACAGGTTCAACCATAATTTTCCTAATAGAGTAGTGGTCAGGGTTAGGAAAAATACAATTGAAAAAAGATTTTTTTAAAAATCTTCCATATTTTCTTCCATATCATTGCCTTTGAGGAATGAAACACATCAGAACAGCAGATATTGTGCAGAAACTCAATGCAGAAGAAAAACGAGGTTATCCTTTTAAACAGTGCTGCTATCATTTTGTATTTTAACTTCTACTGCATGATGATCTGACCATTAGACAACTTCCCACACAAAGTGACCTTTCCCAGCCTGGTGCCTTCCTGATATTTTTAAGATTAAAATCTTGACATTATAGAATAGCTGAGATTATAACATGTTGAGGAAGAAACTCTAAGCAAAGCTCAATTTGAAAGTCTTAATAAAAGTTGGAGATAGATTAATAAACCTCTGATTATGGAGCAAGGAATAAAACACTTGCTTAGACACTAGATTAGCTTGAGATCTCGTTGGATTTATCAATGAAAGCAAGAAAGAATATTATTACCGGCAAGAAATTAGTATTAATGCAAAGTTAGAAATAATTACAAGATCATTTTTGAGGAGTTTATTTTGTTTTTTTGTGTGACTTTTGGTAGTAGATCATGGGGAAAATGTGAAAGTTTTGCCAAACAGAAAACTCAGTATCATTTATTTCTGTGGTGACTGGTAGCGAAATGATAATGATTCTAGACTGGTTAAATTTATTTTGAAGGGTCACATTTGTTATTTTAAGAGCAATGTATAGTCATAGGCACAGTAAGAACTACCTTTTATAAGTTGTGTTAGTTTTGTTCCTATGAAAATCATGCTGAATAGAATACAAGCCTTCCTGAGTTCTGAAAATCTTAAATGTTTCATGATTTTTATAAGACAATAGTCACTTATAGAATGCACAATTCTTTCTCTAGAAAATAAGCTGTTTTGGTTATGTACATAGTTGAATTTAGAGAAGGAAATTAATTCTATTTTTAAAAAGAGATCATTGCTTTTTCTTCCTTTGTATTAGAGTTAAAGAACTTTGATTCACACAGACATTAGTATCAGTTCAATGTTGTATTCTATCTTTCTTGCAGAATAAGAAGAAAAAAAAGTCAGACTTTATTCCATATCGTGACTCAGTACTTACTTGGCTGCTCCGAGAAAATCTAGGTAGGCTTTTTTTCTCAACATGTCACCTACATTCTATCTTATTTCTCAGCCAAGGTCTAAATAATGAATCTCCCAAGTCTTCTGCTTGTGAGTTGTGAAACCTTCTTTTATGATTTTCTTTATTCAGCTCCTGTTTCTACAAGTGAGGAAAGTAGTTGAGTTGTCTGAAATCTAATAGTAACATTCTCAATTCCTTAAAGTACTTGCCAATATCCTGCACATAAAGATGGGATGAATGTTAAGAGTCTTCTTAATTTGGGAGACCTTGATGAATGAGCAGACAATGCATAGGAAGAGAAAGAAGATGAACACAGCTCAGAAAGTGGATATTTAATTTTATCAGTCATTGTGTTGTGTGTTCTCTGTGCAGGTGGTAACTCCCGGACTGCTATGGTTGCTGCTCTCAGCCCTGCTGATATTAATTATGATGAGACTCTCAGCACCTTAAGGTAGAATATTTATAAAAGGTTTCTCATTCTTTTAATTATGAACTAGACTAAGCTTTGTGAAATAGAATTGAATTCATTGCATTATCCTTGTTTTTTTCTTGAATTTTTCTTGGAGGGAAATGTGCTTTCATATATATTTTATCCTTTATGCTTTTATATATATATATATATATATATATA